GGGTTCTCGATCGCGGGGAATAGGGAAAATACAAAAAAAAATATATATACCCCTCCGATAGGTATCGTTAATTACAATGAATTACGAGAAACAGCTGCCGCGAAAATATCGCAAAGCTTGTGCGTTCGAACGTACGCGCGCCATATGCGTTTCACTGGTTGCACGTTTACGCGAGCGAGGGAATCAGGGTAAACGGGGAGAAATTTGGTTGAGGGTTGAGAGAGAGTGAGAGAGAGATATTGGAGAGGGTTCAGGGGTTGGATGAGGAGAAGGGTTGGACGCGAGATAGATCGAGGCGATAAATTTTCAACAATTGAAAACCACTGGACATAGAATTTTCGGGTTAAACTATAACGACAGTACATGGTACCGCTAATCAACGATATAATTGTTTTTGCCGTTCTCATGCGAGTTATTATCTCGAGGTATCGATAAAGTTGACCGAAAAATAAAAAAAACAAAAAAATAAAAGTTTATTAAATTCTACAATAATCGAAACGAATTGGTATACAAATTGTAAAATTGTATTTTGAAATTGCACAATATTGGTACAATACTGATCGAACAACAATCATTCTATCAGTCAAAAATCATAAGTAATTTCCAATTATGAAACAACAATAAAAAATATGAAATCAAAATAAAATAATCTCTACAGAATTATGGGAATCGAAACGAATGGCGAGTATAGAAATTGAGAGAGATAAATAGAGAAGTATTACATGGCAATTCAACGGCCATACTCTAGGACACGGTTCGTGTTAATACAGAAAATCCTGACTAAAGCCCCCATTTAACAGGCAAGATTACGGGTAATACACCTGATAAGGATTATAGTGAGTTCACCTCCTTTCGTCTCTCTTTCTTCCTCTCATTCCCATCATCTCGTTCCATCGCGTACTGCAACCTATCTCACTTTCTCTCTCGCTTACTCTCATAAAATAAAATACCTGGGTCGAGACCGGAAGGGAGAAGAGAGAGAGAGTTGGGTCTTCGCATAACGGAATTGTCCTCGTCTTTGAATAATTAAGCTTCTTTGCCTCGCGGGCAAAGCTCCGAACCGGCGATTCCGCGCTTTGCTAGGGGAAGGAACCTTCGAGAAATGGGGAATGAATGTGGGGAGTGGGGATGAGGGTAAGAGTAGGAGTGAATTCTAAGAGGTGGAGTGACTTTATCAAAGGTACATTACTAATTCTCGTCCCATCGAATTAAATGGCCGAAACGTGCAACTTTCGCAAGTCTCGGGTGTTCTTCATCTTCCATTTTCATTTATCATACACCCTCCCTTACTTCTTTCTTTTTTTACTTCTTTTCCTATTGTTTCTTTTGTTTTCTCTTTTTTGCATTTTCTTAGTTTTTAAAATTTGTTTCTTTCCGGATTAATATCACGTTCGTAAAACTGTGGATACTTTGTTAACTGGACGTAACTTTGATCCTAATTATCAAAGAATAACCCAAGAAGAAACACATTCTGTATGGTTGGTCTCTCCTCCAACCCACGAAACTTCCGACTTGAACGACGTAATTATCGAACAACGTACTAGACCTAACTACGAGATGCACATTTGTAGGGCGTAATCACTTCCCCTTCGTATGGCTGTGAAATTGCTACTAAAAGGTATCACGACACTTGGCTATTACCGTATCTTCTCAAAATCGATCGATTATTTTAATCAAAACTTTTCATTAATCTTTTTTAATATAAATATATATATATATATATATATATATATATATATATATATATATATATATAGAGAGAGAGAGAGAGAGAGAGAGAGAGAGGTATATCCACCTGTTTAAACGAATGGGAATATTATTCGCGATATTATTTCGAAATTAAATAATTCTCTGATTTATTTATTTTCTTAATAATATTAGAAACTTAAACAAGAAAGATTATTTTAATTACAGTTACAAATTATGAATATTTTTGAAATCATACGATTGACAATAGATAACAAAATATTCGAACTATAGTACACTAAACCACAGCCATTAATCTCAAACAGATAAATAAGCAAGCAATATTCATCGAGTACATGGATAATGGAACTAACACGTTTCGACAGCAAGCGTTAGGTAGAGCAATAGGATGTCGATGAATCAGCGATAATATCCGAATCGAAATTGGATATTTGATAAGCAAATGCGACGCGAAGTTAATCTCTTGCATACCGATACATACAAACGTTAGATATTAATCAATTGAAATGTCCTAATAAAATAGAAACTAAGTACTACTATGTGTTAATACCGAGAAAGTTTCAAATTGGCTCACAGATCTATCTTAATTAATGGAATTGCAAATGTTTATTCCCATATTTTTCATGATTTTTTTTTAAGCTTTCCATGGATCAGGATAATAAATTTTCCTAAATTAACGCATTTCGTGCTAATTGTTTTTAGCAATAATTTTAAATCGTTATCGTTTCATCATGTGTCTATTTAATTTGATAATCAATTAAATGACAATTGAAATTTATCACTGTTGTGAGTGATTTTCAAAATTAATTACTTATCTCCTAGACTTTTATCGATTAAATTTTCTTTTGTACTTTAAAAAACGTCCCTGGTTGATTCTCGTTATTCTATACGTTGAATAAATAACGTGTAATCGATTTTTAAAATCGTCTTGGGGAATCATAGAAGACTTTAAAAAGTTTGGGGTTAACTTTCAGTTACATATTTTTACATAATTTATTAGCCGTTTTAATGTCGGAGAGACCGAAGTTAACAAAAATGTTACGTTTAATGTTGAAAAATGTTCTATAAAGAATTATTATAGGTAGCACGATATTTCGTGAATTTCTTTTTCATTCCCTTTTCTCATTCTTTCGTAACAGCTTTGTTTTAGTCACGAGATGACGAAGAAACATTTCTTCGGAAAATTGCATTTCACGTCACGATTCAAGCATCCGGTAATACAATGGTATCATTATTACGAAGGAAAGTCGACGTGGTTGTGTAGAGAAAAAGAGGGAGAGAGATAGAAAGATAGAAAAAGAGAGAGAGAGAGAGAGAGAGAGATCCGTTGAGTATTCTTTTTCATAATACCACACAGCATAAAATGAAATTTTTCGTCTCGAGTGAAATCCGCGGATCTAGGAGAATAACCATACACGAGTTGACTCTTATATTTGAAAATATAATAATATCGTAAAATTCCTTATACATTCGGAATTTTACATAGAAATAATTATATCTATCGAACAATTATTAATTGCATTTCATTAACATCTGACTATGTTACATTTAATATCAAAGGAATTTTATAGATTGTCCCAAGTATTCGCATAGAAATTAACAACTATCCTTTGATGTTATTACAATTCAATTAAATTGTCATAATATGGGGGTTATTTTAAGAAGTAAAAGAACATTTTTCTTTTTGTTTTTTTTTTCTATCATTAACGATCGAATAATAAAATTTAACGGGTTGGTAACAAATAATATAAATACGATTTCAAAAAATTGAGTACAATGGAATGAAATTTATATGGCACAATCAATGATGTATAGTTAATTAAATGAATAATTTTAGAAAATATTTAAATTATTCGAATTTATCGATTTTTCCCAATCAACGCATTCGATCGATTAGTAGATTTTTCTTCCAATTTACCAATACATCTAAAAGTTAACTGAGCGGTACGGTACACTCGTATATTGTGGTTTAACCAACAGCGAATAGCATTCTCTTTTTAAAGTGCAAGTAATTGTCTTTTAACTCTCACATCAAATATACGTACAAAAATATACGTTAAAAATACATAGATATATAGAAACTTTTACTCGTTCGCTATAATTCTATTCAATTACAACGTTACAAGTACTTACATTCTCTCTCTCTATCTATCTCTCTCTCAACCTCTCCAACCCCTTCCTCATTTCACCATTTCTATAGAAAACCACAAAAACTGGAAACGAAAGAAAATAAATGTGTTAGGTGGTGGAAAAAGTTGATGAAAAAAAATTCAACACGAAAATAATGAAATTCGCACGAATTTACGTAACACGTTTAAATTATTTCTAACGTTTCTCTCTCTCTCTCTCTCTTTCTCTCTTTTGTGAAAATAAAAAATAAAAACGAGAGGAGAAAAAAGGGAAAAAGGTATGTTACAATTTTGCTAGAGGAAAAAAATGTAGTAAGCAAAAGGAAAATATTATTCGATAAAATATATATACGAGATACTAGATATGTACTTATATCGATGTCTCGAAACCCTTTCAAGTACAGATGGATCGATGGAAGAGGAAGGGCAATTGGCAAAATTATACGTCGAGAATACCGGATAAATGGATGACTATCGCTAGAAGGTCTATTTTGTAACGTACAATCAATTCCTAAATTCTATTACAGTTTCATGATTTTGTCTAATAACAGCTATATTCATCTAATTTAAATATCCCTAACTACTAAGATAGCACACCTATCCCTTTAAATTGAATTCGTGTATCATACTATCTCGAAGTACAATACTTTTCATAATTTTTGAAACAAAGAAAAAATTTCGTTTTCGACCTAAGTCACGAAAAAAGAAACCAAAAGACAAATAGAAAGAAAAGAAGAAGATGGGAAAATGTTTGATCTTTATCGGATAAATAGAAAAGACATATCAATGAGACTGTCAGTAAAAATCACGATCATGAAAAAGGATTTAATATCTTAAACTCGAACGAGTACTGTAGGATATATGACTGAAAACGTACACATTAAATTTATACACACGCGACGGTGGTAACACACATAGAGAGACACGCACACGGATATATCAATGGAATGATAGGAATATAAGGGGGTAGGGGGAGGAAAGGGGTGATTCAACGATTCAATATCTGTCTCGGGTAGATACCAACGTATAGAGAAATTTTGACGGTGAAACAAATAGAAAGTATCGTTCCAGCTAACGAAGCATCGATCCATAAATTGAATTTTCACTCATACCTACATACATATATGTATATATAAGTGTATATATATATATATATATACATACCAAAAGAAGAAAGAAAAAATAAGCGGGAACTGGCTTGTTTTTCCTCTTGATCGTAGTTGGTAGTAGTTGGTAGTAGGTTATATCGTTGAGAAAGATCCTTGATAGAATTAGTCCTTTTATTTTTTTTCTTCTTGGTAATGGCTTTTTATATCTTCCCGTTTCCGTGAATAGTTTTCTTTTTTTTGGTCCTACAACCGGAAGAGCCCTATGGTTTTAAACATAAACCGAAGGTCGATCGAAGTTACGCGCACTTTTTCGCGCCGTTCACCGCAATGACGGTAACACAATGCGGTAGACAAGTACAATTTCGAATAAATATAATAATAATTAATTACTATGATAGTTTTTTGTATGTCGATTTATATGGAATACACTTGATTAAAACTTTTTTTTGTCTTTTCTTTTCTTTTTTTGAATTAACATTTTTAGTTTTGTGATATTTAAAATAAACACAATCGGTAAAAACCGATAGTTTAATTTACTTTTGTTATTAAATTTGTTCCGTTTGTTTTTCTTTTATATTTGTCGACTTTATCGTTGTTCGATAATTTTCTTTTCCTCCACTTCTTCTTCTTCTTCTTCTTTTCAACGCGAATTATCACTTTCACCAGTAACACCATCGATCGAATAGATCTCGATTGTTCACCATATTAAAATCCATTGATGAGATAGAAATAGAGATGGAGAAAGACAGAGGAGAAGGTAGATAGAGAGAAAGAGATTAATATAAGATAAAGAAAGAAAATATTGAACGATCGAAAAGTACACTAGATCGATCGTCCTTCATCGTCCTTAAAATCGATATTACGCGAATCCCCATCCCGTAATATATCCCGAATAAGAGAGATCACTCCTTTCATAGCTCACTATCCGTCACACTCGCGAAAAGAGGTCAAAGATATAAGACTATTTTCAGGGAACTCGACTCCTCCCATTGGAAGAAATAAAAAAAGAAATACGCACACTACAAGAGTCAACCTTTTCTTCTTCTCTTCTTATTCTTCTTCTTTTTCTTCCTCTTCTTATTTTCTCAACAAAAAAAAAAAAGAAAAAAGAATAAATGAGAAAAAAAATAAAAATCAACAAAAACTAATCAATCTTCTGGCAATCCAATCTCACTAAAAAATAAAAGAACAAAAACAAAAAAGAAAAAAAGGGAAGAAAACTTGTAAAAATTATTGAACTAGAAGGAAACAGAAGAAAAAGAGATCACTTCTCTTTCTCTCTCTGCCACTCCTCCCTTGTGTAACAACAACACAACAAACTGTAAACTCAACGAAACAAAAAAAGAAAATAGAGAAAGAAAAAACGCATCTAGTAAAAAAAAAAAAAAATATGTGAACGTGCCCCGACAGGTAGGGTTTGCCCTACGTTACTCCTCCTTTTAACAAATTATCTTTCCTTTGAAAATTCTTTTGTTGCCGCGCGAGGATGCGCGCGAACGAGCCGCCAAAGAGAACGGGCCGACTGACTGGGGGCAGGGGAGGAGAGGGTTTAGTAGCACGGTACGGGGGTTGGGTTAGGTGAGGGTGTTAAGGGGGTATATATATATATATATATATATATACTGTTAAAAGCGAACGTACGAAGAACGTTGGAATGAAGGAACGAACGAACACGAGCCGACGTGAATGCGCAAGCGACGCGTCGTGTTGTTGGAAACCGACTAAACCCTGAGAGCCGTCCTGCACCCCCGGCTACCGCGCATGCCCCTTCTTCCGAACCCTACGCTAACTCTCCTGCTCCACCTCCTTCTCCACCACCTAGAACCTCCAACCTCCAACCCACCCCCTCATCCACGTACTCATTCTCATACTCCTCCTATTTCACTACCACCACCACCACCACTACCATCACCATCACCATCACAGCCACCACCACCCAACGCGTGCCATCCTCCCTCCTACACCAATCCCACCTCAAAACCACCGGTGACTTCATCTTTTTTTTCTTCTCTACATCCCGAAAAAGCCCTTTTTACTTTTTCTTACTATTTCTTTCTTGTCTTTCTTTTCTTTCCTTCTCTCATTTGGATTTGGATTTTTATTTTTATTTTTTTTTATTCTTTTTTCATTTATCGAAGAGCTCTCTATCTCTCTTTCTCTCTCTCTCTCTCTCTCTTTCTCTCTCTCTCTTAACATTTTTCTCTCACACTTTCTCTGGTCGTAGTTGTCAGAGAATTTTCTTCTACTTCGAAATCGAAATGGCGAATCCAGATTTATTTGCCCATCGGCAATATATTTACAACTCCGGGTGTAGGAAAAGTGGATCGTTAGGTGAGTCTCCTTTTTTTATTCTTCTTTTACTTATTCTTCAAAGATAGAGCTTCTATAAATCCCCCACCACCCACCCCCCGTTCACTCCTCATTTCTTTTTTTTTATATTTATGTATTTCTTTTGCTAGTTTTTTTTCTTTTTCTATACGAGAAAATATTACGAGAAGTATAATGATTAATTGCGACGCGATAACGTAGGGGTCTGCTTTGGGTAAGAATTAATTGTTAAACTATAACAAAAGAAAGAAAAAACATCTACTGACGTGTACCAACTTATTTTGACAGATTATACTGATATCAATAATAAACATAATGTGTATATTACATATATTATGTACTTTAAGTTCGGTATATATTCATGCGCGCATGCATACATACATACATACATACATACATATAATTATAAATAATATTTTAAAGGTATTAAGGGTGAGTTTATGATAAAGCGAGGGAAAATGAAAATTTCACGGCGCTACTTGAGACGGGAAGAGGAGGATGGAGGGGGAGGGAAGGAAGGTTCGAAATATCTGGAACGTAGAAAACACGTGCATTTGAATTTTCATGCCAAACCTCGAAGAAGTAAACAGGCTGGAAATTGTGGAGCAACGTTGAAACTTAAACGATCCACCAACCATAGTTCTAAATCATATAAACTTTCTGATAAATACGAAAGTATATATATATGTGTTTGTAGAAATGTATGCACATAAATGTATCAACGTAAACGTAAGAACGTGAATCCATGTATTCTCATCTGAACGTTTAAAGAGAAGTAAACTGGATAGCAAGGTAAAGGGGAAGTGAAGTGATTGTTGAGGATCGGGACGCGGTGGGTTGAGGGAGGGGTTAGAGGTTAGGGGTGGATGAAGAAGGAAATTCGTAGGAAGCGCTAATGGAACGTGGTGAAGCTGTGGCTGCTACTGCGGTGTTGGCGCGATCCTCAAAACCACGTTGAACTTGAGAAAGCCTTGCTCGGAAAGTATCCTACGTTGAGATTAAGAAGAGTGGCCGATAAGAAATAAGAGTTAGAAGGGTAGAGACGAAGAAAAAGAAAAAGAGGGAGATAGAAAAAAAGAAAGAAAGAAGTAGGATGAAAAGGGTGATTAATTCGAAGACGCACTTCTCTTACACTTCTCTTCCCTTTGAGTGAGGGGAGCTTCGTTAAAATCGCGATTCATAGCACGAAAAGCGAGAATAAGCGATCGGACAATGAAAAGAGGGTTGAAAGGGTTGCCAAAAAGAGATTGCGATATCTATCATCCCTTCTTTCTCTTTCTTTCTTTCTTTCTTTTTTTTTTCTCATTATTACTACTGGTTCCTCTCATCAAGAGGCTATTGATTTTATTCTTCTACAGGTGCTTCTCTCTTTCTTTCTCTTTCTCTCTCTCTCTCTCTCTCTCTCTCTCTCTCTCTCCCTTGCTCGCATCTTCCTTCTCGAAAAATCTTCGAGAGCATTTTATTTTTTTATTTTTTTATTCTTTCTTTTCTATTTTGGAAGGGTCCTTTTTTGTTTTTCATTTTTCCTCCCTACCCTTCTTTCCCCTTTTTACTATTCTTATTCTCAGTCGCGTAATCGTCGTCATCGCGTTGTCGTTTATTCACCAAGAAGAACACTTCAATTTTTCATCTCGAAATCACAACAATGCTGGCTCGTTAAATCCCTTTTCTTCTCTTTCCCTTTTTTTACTAGTTCTTCTTCTTCTTCTACTCTACTTCTACTTCTACTTCAATATCTTCTTATTTTTTTTATTTTCCCATTTTTACATAAAATCGTATACTAGTTTTTATTTTTCTCTGTGGTTTTGGATTTTTCTTTTTTCTTTTCTTTATCTTTTTCTCTTTACACCCCCAAGCGAGAGATTCAAAATCCTTCCCTGTCCGACCATTGTTTAATTTCTTTCATCCTTCTCCTTTTTCTTCCATTTCTTCTTCTTTTTTTGTGAGAGGAAAGATAAAAAAAAATTAAATAAAAAATGGAAAGGGAGAATAAAAAGATGGAGAGCTTTAATAACTACTCTCTGGATGAGAATCTTTGCCCTCCGGAAGATCGGCATGGGTTGTGATGACGTTATCACGATTATCAGTCGAGCAATTAATCTTTGAGATTATGATGGGGGATAAATAATTCTTTAGAGAAAATGTAAGAAGAATAATTTAAAAGAGGAAAAGAAAAAAAAATACGAAAAAAAGTTCTGAAAATAAGTAGAACACGTTAATTTTGTTATTTTTATGTAACAAATTTTGATATAATTATTATAATATTATTTACTAGTTTAAATAAAAAATTTATTAATATCTGTATCTGTGCGTGTATGTATGTATGTGTGTAAAATTATTACAATGAAAAATTTGGAAATGATTTTAAATTTAAAAATATTGTAAGATTTATTAAATTTTACTGGAAGAAAAGTTCAATGACACTACAAACAAACAAAAAAAGTCAAATATCTATTAATATCAAATATTTTTTTTTTTTCTAAAATTTACGTAATACAAAAAAGAAACGAAGAACTTACTTCGGCAACATTTCTTTCTAGAAAAAAAATTAAAAAAAAATAAAATTAGGTTATAGAAGATTAACTCGAGTTACGAGTTAGTTCTATAATTGATCCGATTCACGTCGAAAAGTTTTTACGCAAGATTCAAAAGAGATATAGTCCGTGGTGTTGATGGTGTTGATGTAGGTTGAAAAAAGGGGCGTGAAAAGGAAGAGAACAGAGAAGAGGTGAATAAAGAAGAAGGGAGGGATGGAAATCAAGATGGAAAAGGAACAAGACACTTTCTCTGGAAGAACTTTTCAATCTCCACTTCTTCGCCCTTTTCTAACTTCGAGGGAAGAAAATTCTTTATGGAAGTGAACATTTCGTATTACCGATTGGGCCACCCTATCCCTCCCCTCCTTAAACGAAATCTTTTCTTTAGTCAATTTTTTCTTTTTTTATTTGCCGAGGTTTTTCGTCGATGCCTATAATCGATATAAACGAGGGAGATGTATAAAGAAAATCAATATCTTCCTATACTTTTCATGCTCGTCCTTAACGAGAGTAAATACGCTCGTTTACTGAATCCTAAAGATTTTATGATAAGAGAGTATCGTTAGGAGTTACTCAAAAAGGGCCTTCCTGCTTTTGTGGTTTTCCTTAGATCGTTTGTTAAACAAAAGTACGTACACGA